GAGATGTCTGTTTCGCTGACGCGGATGCGTCGGCTGTCTGTTCTTCGATAACCGAAATTATCCACGTCGGAATGGAGGAATACATCCCTCATACAGTGAAAGTGCCTAAACCAGGGTCCAACGGCTGGTTTAACAAATCGTGTGACATTGGTCGCCAGCAGAAGATCAAGGCACACAGAACCTTTTTACAAAACCCCACTGTAGAGACCAGACAAGCCAACGTCGAGTCTAGAAACAGAGGTTCGCAATGCCATAAACTAACACGATTAAGAAGTTAGGCACAGGGTAATCTCACAGCGCAATGGCAGTCGGTCTTTCTGGACGCTAGCCAAGCAGACTGAAAAGAGCTTCTCACATAGTAGCCTTCCACCACTTACGTGACAGGATGGAACGATTGTAACCTACTCAAAGGCCAAAGCGGAAGTGCTTGCCAGGATCTTTGCTGCCAACTCCACCATGGACGTCTCCCCCTACGCCCAAGTGCCATCGATTCAGAGGGTTCCCTACACTATGCGGGGACTAACATTCCTGCCATTGTACTGAAGATGTGTGCAGCGGAGAGCTTGCTCATGTCATTTAGCGTTTCTTCCATATATTTTATGGATCCGGCACCTTCCCAGAAAGGAAGGTTTTCCCAGTTCTACTAACCTCAGGCAGTTCAAAAATCGGATTAACAAAATTTCTTTGAGATCATCATAGCAGCCGCGGTGTCCCAGCATTTAGGCTTCTACTTGCGCGACTGCTTTGGTATACAAAAATATTGAACAGTTGAAGTTCACAAAGCAACGAACCACGTACGTCGGTCTTCTCGCAGAGGAGTCTTTTAATAGTAATTTCAGCACAAATGTCGCCGAAGAGTGCAAAGTGCAACACATTTTTTTGCCAAATAAGACTGTTTTGGGATAATTGTTTAGAACTGACCTCCGTAATATATCCGGATTGGTAGAGACGATATAAATTAGATGACTCATAGTATGCAATTGGTACTGATAAAGCAAATGTTATTTTGTTGCTTACAGAGTTAGTGGAGATATTAGTTATATTTTAAAAAAATGTTATCGAGTAAAACTAGGATCACAAACTATTCTTGCCCTAATTTTGAACTCAATTGTTTCAGCTCTCCAAAAACTTCTTCGGTTGTAATAATGCTAGAGTGAATTGTGACAAGACGTGCTAGCAATAGAATTACTTGATAGTGGTTGAGAATTTGAGATATTGTGTCCACTATTAATCTATGATGATCTGAATCGATTGTAGCGCGATGAACAATTACATAGATAGTACTGATTTTGTCATTTAATAATTATTGTTCATTAAACAGACTTGCTGAACGGCTGCAAAATCCTGTTGGCCAATTTTATTTGATTACTTTAAAGCTCTCGAATTAGATTTTCTAAGCGTTCGTCATCATCGGCGTTAAGGTTTTCAGTTATGGTTTGGATATCGACCCACTGCCACTTGATATGCTTCCTTTCCCTCGTTCTGTTGGGAGATGTATACTACAAATTTCAATGTTCTAAATTAGTTTGACGAATATGTATTGATATTAAAATTGGAAGATAGGGCTTGTGCTATACGTGAGAAGGAGAATGATAGTTTTTCAATTTTTGATATGGTGGAATTTAAATCATCGTAGTAAATGCTTGATCGATTTCCACGGGAAGTACTGGGTTATTGTCGTGGTTACGCATTGTCATGCTGTTCTGAAGTACAATCGTTAAAGCCCAATTACACCTACCGAGTAGCTCGGCCCAGTACTCGCCCAAAACTGGGTCGAGCTACGTCGATGCGGTGAGTAGGTGATTACATTTTAGCAGATCAGAGCGAGACAGTTGCCAAGTGTGTTCCACGATGTGAACATGTCCCCGCGAAGTAAGAAGAGAAAAATGAAAAAAATATTCAAACGCCACTGTAATTTGCTCATACCTGCATTACTAGATAAAATTGAACGGGGTATTATTAAAGAAAACGAATATGGACAAGACCGTGGCTACTGAAAAGAGACATGAGAGGAGGAACTGCAACAGTGATGAGTGAGTTCGAAACTGAAGACCTCATAGAACATAGATTGTTTGTGAGGATGGAAGTGCATCAGTTTGATCACTCACTTGAGGCAATATCAAAAGCTTTCCTCTTCTCGCCAATGTCCATGATAGGTTCCATCTTACTGAGCCATTTAACCCTAGATTCATAAACAAGGTCTTTGCCGGTACCAGATCTTTTTGAATCTGCAACTTTCTTCTTTTCTTGGTTGTAGGTTGATCTCAAATTCTTTATTTTATTTTTCACTTCTGCCACACCAAAGTCGGGTATCTTGATTGCTTCAACTAACTTCTGGTAAGCAACATCTGGCCGATGTTTGTCTCTATGAGCAGCTGATTTGAAATCCCGCAAACACCTGTGACTTTTGTATTCCTGTATAAACTTCATTGTTGTTTCACTTGTCCACCTGGACATTTTCAAAATGGACAAACAAACCAAATTGAAAGAATTAGGGAAATAATCGAAAGACAATGGATAAACTGCAATAGAACACGTGTGGATGAGTGGTGGGGGGGCCACAACTCGGCCGAAAAAATAGAACATGGTTCTATCCACGGACTCGCCCAAAATCACTCGCTCGTCGTGGGAATCTGCGAATGAATAATATCTACATGTATATTTGTCGTTTTTATTAGTTGGTGTTGTCATTTTGCTGGTGGCTTGCTCCCGCTTTTTTGGAAATTATTATGACTCAGTAGTTGTTATGTTTGCCTGGTATTTTAAACAGCATTTATATTGAAAATGCAATAGATGGAGAATATGGGAGCATCGAAGGATATATAGCAAAGGTTCTTTCACATTAGAGCTCTTTCATAAACAAATTTTCATCAATACTCTGTTTCTTATTTTGGGACATACCTTCTTGAGTTTTAGTGTAAACAAACTATAGATCATGTTGGATTATAATTTTTACTGTTGCAAAGAATATCTGTTGCCACTGGCATGGTACGCGGCCAAAACTTCTGACAACGGAACACTAAAGCCTCGTTCATCGTTGTGCTAGGAGAATATACATGCGATTTTCTCCACCGAAATGGCAGTTGCTCCATGTTTAGCTATATAACATACTCAAATTTGGGAAATTGCTCAAACAACTTCATCATGTTCTACATAAATTATAAATATAATAAGGATGCGATGCTTAACACTCATATAAACGTAAGACGTGAGATCCGGTTTCAGAATTTGGTTTAAGGAGGTTCCAAGCTTTCCATTACACCTTTATTGTGACAGTTTAATGGCTAAGGGAAGTCTTCTAAAAAACATTATTCTAGAATTTTATTGTCGATACGAACAAGTTTTGTTGCTCACTGGTACCAGCAACTCTCCAGTTATAAAGTTCATATTGCATAATCTTATAGAATCAATTGAATAAATATCCGCATTCATTTCATCAACACAGATATCCTGGGCTAACTGTATTTATTGTTATACCTGTTTAGTTATTTGTTGCTAAGTGAAAGAAAGTATTTAATTTGATATCAGTCACCTTTGTGACAATCTTGGGCTGGTGAAAATTAATTTATTGATTCAGATGTTACTTCCAAAATGGTTTACACACTAGCCAAAAGAATGAAAATGATTTTACTTTATGATGCCCAAAATCAATGTGCCCGGCAACCTGCCGCCACATTTAACGCCAGACCTCCCGGAAAGATAACTTCGCATAGCTATGTTTTGGACCTTGTTACTAAATTTACTCAAACTGGATATGTTGCAAATAAAAAACGTGATTATCGGAGAGTTTACAATGAAGCCGCTCAAGTTGAAATTTTTGGTCATTGTGGAATAAATCCTAATACTTTATTACACAAAATTGTTCCTGAGAATGATATTTCATTAGGCTCTGTACACACAGTTAGTAAACTCCATTCAAAATGAAAACATTACAAGAGTTAATAGGAGATGACTTCGATAGTCGAGTTGAGTTTTGTGAACAAATGGCTGCTGCGATTAATGATAATACCATTCATGTAAAGATTATCTGCTTCAGTGATGAATGCAGATTTTATCTAAATGGATAACTGCAGGTATTGGAGCAATTAAAGTCATCATAGAAGGGTATATCCAGTACCCCCAAAAAATTAGTGTATGGGCGGGCATTTTAGGAAACAAAGTGATAGGGTCATTGTTTATTAATGGAAATTTGAATGAAGACGTTTATTTAGATATGTTGGAAAATACCATCAATCCGCTTATCACTGAAACCATTGAAAACCAAATCGAAGAGGATGGAAACTCTATACTTGATGAGGCTGAAATATATTTTCAGCAAAACGGTGCTCCTCTTCACCATGTTCTTGAGGTTCGGTAATGGCTAGACGAGTTTCCAGATGAATGGATATGGCTAAGAGTGCCTATAGAATGACCGTCTAGATCTCCTGATTTGACACCACTAGACTTTTTTCCAAGGGGGCATTTGAAATCTATTGTGTACTCGCCAACCTGAAAATTTGAATGGACTTCGTCAACGCATCATCAAAAGCCGCCATGATATCCGTCATGTTTTTGAAAATGTTCGTGAGGAATTTGAATATCGCCTATACCAGTGTTTGGCCAATAACGGGCAACATTTTGAACACTTATTGAAATAAAAAGTGATATTTTCGAGTGTTTTTGTTTTCTATCTGAACAAACTAAGATAAGTAAAGTTTTTTATAATTTTCTTAAAAACGAATCGACTAAAATTTTTAAGGGAATGACGCTGAGGGGGCGAGGGTTATAGAGAGTGGAGTAAATCGACCGATTTCAAAAAATCAAACGTCAAAATAAAGAACTTTGAAAGACCTTTCAATCAAGCTATTACTCGGTACCTCTTGTCATTTGAAATTTGTAAGGGGATGACCTTGGGGGCAGAGGGTGAAAGGGGGTGTAGTAGTTTCTAGTCAAAAAGTTGCCCCCGAAACGAATATTTGTTCACACACATAATAAAAATTGATGAGCTAGTTGTTTCTAAAATGGATGCCAACGAAGTTGTCCAAGCATGCATAGCAGCTATTTGCGAATTATTAAATGAAGAAATGAGAGACATTTTGTCAAACTTTGACAGAAAATGTAGAAAACGTCAGTTTTGGGTCAGGACTTGGATATTTCGAAGAAATAAATTGGGCGTTTCAGGAACCCTGCTCAAGGAACTGGCTTTAGAGGACAATGATGCCTACAAAAACCATTTGAGAATGTCCGAAGAACAATTTCAAAGACTTCTTCTAAAGATAAAAAGCAAAATACAAAAGCAAGATACCATTATGAGAAGATCTATCTTTTGCGATGATAGTAAAAGCGTTGTCTCGAGCATCCTCGTTTCGATAACTCTCGAGCAGGGTATTCCATAAACAGACATGCTGTTGATATGAATCAAAAAAATGTAGCTCAATACTTTCAGACCACTTTATGCACACAACAAGCGCACGAGCCACAAAATCAACTTTATTCAATGCGAAACTCGACTGACTACAGTTCACACGCTTCAAATCCGTTGCAACTTGTCTGAAAATCGCCTATGACGCATTAAATTGATAAATAAGTTTTGAATGGATCGAACTTTTTTGGTTCAACTAAAATTGATCAACTAAAATCGAAAACACGGTTCACAAGTATATTTTTATTCGATTTTTGTTGATCAATAAAAATCGTTCTACTAAAATTGACTCGTGAGAACGCTGCTTAATTTATCATTAATTGTGTTGACTACAGGACTTTTGTTGTGGAGTGATAACAAAAACAATATTAGAGCTAGTACCAGTCTAAGCAGAATACTTGCGTTATATCCTTTATACGTATACTGAGGCAAACGCGAAGACCTTTCTCTCGCAAGTAGTATAGATAATATAGTTGAACGGCAGCACTTTTATTTAAGGCTTTGTATAGGATGGGCAGGCTGCAAACGCCCTTTTTTCAGTGACTGATGCAATTAACAAAAATTACGGTCCCAAATCCTGCCCTGCGAGACTGGAAGAATTTATTTATTTATATATTTACTTATCAACGGGCAAAGTCCAATAATAGAGGACTGTCCAAGTAATAAAATCAATAAAACATAATAGTCCAATCTCAAAATGCACTGACAACGTCAAAAAATGTATGCTAAAAATGACAGGGTACTGTCAGTATGAAGTTCATTGTTGTTCTGATACAGATTTTATAAGTTGTTATTTCTTGCAACTGCATTAATTTATATTTTGATAAATATAAGTCGTATATTGGAAATCGATACTCGGCATTTTATCTTTTATTCCAGACCAGCGTTAAGCCTCAAAAGCCTACTCCTACTTCCTGATCTCTTGGATAGGTATGACTTCCAAAAAATGTGTGCAATCTTTTTGAAAGTTGATCCAGAATAGTGGGAAATCTGTAAAGCTAGAAGCAGATAGCACTAGTTAGGTTAGACGACATACCTATTGTCATACCCTGACAAATATGTCAATTGCTAATTAGCTGTTTACGTCAGTAGACACCAAAACGTGATGAAGTCGTGGAAAGTAGGTAATTTTTCTATCAAACCAGTCTTTTCATCTACTTTTGACGGCTTGACCTCTAACCACCCAAGCTCCCCCTATCAGGAGAAAAACAAAACTGGAGATAGCTGCCACGAATGCAACTGTGAGGAAACACAAATAAAGTTAGTTGTGACTGGTGGCCTATTGACAATAGGACAGTAAAATGAGATATGGACCTCGGTTGTTCATGAAACTCACAATCGAAGTTTTTCATCCGACATAATCTCGCGAAGCTGAGACCATGTGACAATATGTATGACGCGTTCAAGATTTGTTCACCGTTCGACAAAATGGTAGATGACAAAGTAGGAGTTCACTTGAAAATACTTTTTTCCTCGTCATTGTTTAACTTTTTCCACTAGCCGATTTTTGATAAAATAACTTTACAATTATGATAAACGGTGACAGAAATAAAATAGCGAGAACACTTTCCCAATCTCCACTAGGTGCATATATGGGAAAATACTGGAAAATAGAACGGAATGCAGATGTATGAGACTGTTGAGCTGTTCTGAGTCGTGATGCATTGGACGGCAGCCAAACGAGGAAACGAGGTATTAACATTTTTCTTTCATCCAAATATTTTGACACAGGATACAAGGAGGTTAGTTGATGTGTTAAAGAGATCTACTACAACGAGTAGCTTGCGACTGGAACAGGAAGCTACAATTCAATTATTGAAAGTTTACCAAAACCGACTTTTTAGACTTATTAAGTGTATTGAACATTGAATAAAAAACCCTATAACACTACATGTACGCTGTGTGCCTATACATCCTGCTGCTTGATCATCATCTGGCTTTTAGATCGCTTGGTACCACTTCATCAAAATCTTATTCTAAACCTAGTCGATTTCTCCTCCACCTAGGTACACGTGTCATACTCGTACGACCGGTACGTTCCGTACGTGGGACACAAACGGCTGACAGTTGTGACACCGCCCCGAGTTTTCGCCACACGACCTGCGGTGCTCCAAAAAGAGTTCGAACGGATCGAGAATAAGCTGCGACCGTGGTACGCGTATTCGGCCACCAACAGATACCTCAACTCCGACTCCGCCGTGGTAAGATTTGAGTGGAGTTTATGCATTATTAGGTACTCCAGGTGGGTTATGGTTTGAGGTGGATACGAGTTATATTTCCATTAGAATCCTTTCAGGACATCTAAGAAGAATATTAAAAAAGGGACAAACATTCAATTTTTTTTTTTAGAATTTATACTGCATTTTGGTGACAGCATTCGTAATTGACTGAAAAGACTTTATTACTTATGCAAATGTTAAAATTCTTAAAGTAACCATATGAATGGAGAGACGAATAGTATATTTGATACAATAACTTCCTATAACTATAGAAACTATAGTTCAGATATTATAAGCACATTGCATGTGGCCCGACTATACTTTTCGACCATATCTTGTCAACATTGTCTGCAATGTGTAGACACATACATCTTCAGAAGTTGTCATCAGAAGGGCCACAAAATCTACTGACGAAATTGTGTGCGTCGGGCAAGCTTGCCATACTTACATTACACTACATTAAATATGATTCAGATAAAGGTATATGAAAATAGCTCGGAGCTGGAAATTAAAGTATTAAGACCAGATTGACAGTACTTCAGTAGTTCATTTTTTAGCTGACTGAGCAACGGCAGCTATCCCAAAACAGGTGCCTTCGATTATTTCACTTGCTTACGTTTTTGACCCAGTTATAACTTATGGAAGTAGTGTGTAATTTTGTTTTACCAGATGATCAATTCTTTACATAGATTTACTGCAGACGCAGACTGTTCTCCATTATGGTTTTGCACAGATCACATTTAATAACTCAGTGAAGAGAATGAGAGTTCTTGTAACAGCAAAACGTTAGGGAAGAATTTCAATAAAATGTAGTGGTTAAAAGCTAATATTGAATATGTATCTTCGTAACAAGTTTTGTTTTTGTCAACCTGTTGCACTCTTGTTAGACACGATGTCCTAAAACGGTTCCGATAAAAAAATTGCCAATTCCAATAAACATCCAATATCTCTTTAGACCTAATTTGCTTGGAGTACTAGTTTACTTAGAACTAGCATCTTGTGGGTTCTGGTATAATCATATTATGCTACTGTACTATGGAGACTAGCAGTATCATACGTTAATGTCAATGATACTTTACTTCTCATTGTGGTTGTAAAAAAGTGCTTTAGGTAAGTACACAAAGACACCCAAAATAAACATTACAAAGTTATTATTTTATGTACGGGTGCGCCATCTTTTATGTCGCTATTGAATCATCGAATGGCTTTGATATTTACCAACCGAGTGATTTGGTAATACAGGTTTCTGAAACATCAATTTACTACAATTTTAGTCGTGAATCGCTTTGCACCGAAACAACGCGTCGAAATAGTCACAATGTACATTGAAAATCGTCGTTTAGCTGTGTTAACGCACCGTGCATATCGTCGAAAATATCGTGGCAAACAGGCACCGTTTGACAACACTATCCGTCGTTTGGTTTCGAATTTTTTTGAGTACGGAACAGTGGGAGATCGTCAACATACCGTTCATCAACGACCAAGACGATCCAATGTATTGGTTGAAGCTGTCAGAGACAGCGTTGCCCAGAACCCAAAAGTGTCGTAAGGTCACCGCGCTCAGCATTTTGACATTAGTGGAACCAAGTTGTAGCGCATTTTGAAGGATGATTTGCATTTGTTTCCTTATAAGGTGCAGTTAACACAAAAAATATTGCCAACTGACCGTCCACGTCGCTTGGAAGACGCCCAAACAGTCGCCTGCATGGTTGATGCTGAATCTGATTTTTGGAAGCAAATTGTGATCACAGACGACGTCCATTTCACGCTCTCTGGCGACGTTAATAAGCAAAACTGCCGCATTTGGGGGACGGAAAATCCACATACATGGGATCCACGAAATGCCGTTTCATGACCGGAAAGTGACTGTTTGGGCCGGCGTTTGCGCCAAAATCATCGTTGGGCCATTTTTCTTCCACGAAAACGAAACGCTCGATGGAAATCGATATCTGAGGATGTTGGCTCATTATTTCTGCCCACAAATGCGTGAAAAAGGTCTTGATGGTTACTGGTTTCAACAAGACGGTGCGCCATGCCACACTGCAACTCAAACAATCCAGTTTCTGCAACGAAAATTCCCTGGACGTCTGATGTCAAAAAGAGGTGACATTGACTGGCCACCCAGGTCTCCAGATTTGACCCCACCATACTTCTTTTTGTGGGGTTATTTGAAAAGTCAAGTGTACGCCAGTAAGCCCCAGATCACTGAAGAACTCAAGACAAACATTCGTACCGCAATCGCCGCTATACCACCAGAGATGCTCGAAAAAGTAACGGAAAATGCAGCAAAATGGGCACATTTTGTTTTGGCCAATAAAGGTGGCCACTTGAAAGATGTTGTGTTCAAAAACTAGTCCAAATAAATTGTAAAGGACCATATTTAATAAAAATACCCGATATATAGAAATCAGGTTTTCGTTTTCAAAGTTATTTCATGTTTACATACCGACATAAAAGATGGCGCACCCGTACATTAGAAAGCGAGTCCCCTATATTTGTATTGGAAGGGCAAATCAAAATGAAAGCCTTCACGAATCGTATACAAGTAACATATTTTACTTTCTGATACTTGATAAGATTGTGAATTTTATTTTAGTTACCGATATAATTATGTGGTATCTGCTCATGAAGTTTGTTTTTTGCACTGGGGCGAGAACCTTAAGAATTGTTATATTGAAACAGATATAATTAGTACCTTGGAAAATGGACAAATGGAAGATTATATCTCACCACAAATCCGTCAGATATGCAAGCT